GGAATAGTTTTTGCCATGGCAGGCCTTGCACTGCTGGAAACCAAATTGTTTTTTGGTGCTAGGGCAACTACTATTCACGTGAATAATAGCCGCCCTAGAGCTCCCCTTGCCATGACAAGGGGCTAACTGGTGAAAGTGCTCTAAAAGTCCAATACCTTCATGTTGGCCCGGAAAGGCTATAATGAGGGCTTAAAGTGATGAGGTTATTTGAGGAGGTCAAATCTCACGATCTACAAATGTAAAGAAATTATGGGACTTAAATATTTTAAATGTTTTGACGGTCGGATCGGTCTCCTCAAATAACCTCCTTACTTTAACTCCTCATTGTAAAAGCTCCCATGTTAGCCAAGTTGTGGGCCAGATTGAGGTCCCCATACTCTTCTTTCTTAAAAGTTCTAAAAGGAGTTTAGGGTATTTTTGATAAAAAAGAAAAAAAAAAGAAAAAGGAGATTTACCGACAAGCAGTAATGGATCTAGTACGGAACCAGTGAAGGCAGTAGCCCCACTCAGTTTTGTCTACACCTATGAAGTGTCAATTTTTTTTAATAAAAATGCCTCAAAGAAGGCCTCAAATGAATGGCTGAGAAGAGCTGCATTAGGCCAACCTTTACAGGTTGTTGGTAGGCTCCATTAGCCACTGCATGCTAGGCCATACTTTATTTATAAAATAGTTGACCCTGCTCAGAGCCCATACGCTAACGCAAGAGAGTCGGAGCTTGTTTGAATATGAAGAGCCACCTGGCGGCTGTGGAGCTCTTTTACAATTTTCGTCTTATCTCCCTTCTAATTAAACATTAAATTACTTGATGCTTTCGACCGAAAAAGGAAAAAAGAAATTACTTTATGCAATTTTCCTTGTCTTTTTCCTTTGTCAATAATTTACGGGCATGAACTAATATAACATTAGGACTTTATATTTTGTTACCTTTCAAATTTTGTTTTTTTAATCTTTTCCAAAATTTTATTTTTTTGATAGACATATAACATAAACATACATTAAAACTAATATAACATAAACATACATTAAAACAAAATAAGTTAACAACAACAAAAATTAATGCGTAAAATAAATTACATCATTAAAAAAAAAAAAATACTTATAGAGCCCTCCATTGTGAGAAAGATACCTTTAGAGCTAGTAATATTTCATCGAAACTCTAAATGGAGCTCTATCCACCATATTTAATGCTTCAACCATTGAGGATGCCCTTATAGAGCGCCCCATTGTGAGAAAGATACATTTAGAGCCAATAATATTTCATCGGAGCTTTAAAGGAGGCTCTATCCATCATATTTAGAGTCTCAACTAGGATGACCTTAGATAACCTGATAAGATAAACAACGCCATCCACCTTATGAAGTGGTGGCCTTAGATGAGGTTTGTAAATTATATCATCATCTTTTTCAATCCACAACGAGAAGAAAGAGTTGAAGGCATAGAAACAAACAACGCGGTCCAAATAACAAAATGCATCACACTCAAATAGGGACAGTGGGACTTTTTTGGTAGGTGCTTTCAGGAAAAATGGTTAAAAAGAGGTCAAGTGGGGATGGGGCTCTATATTTTATGTATTTTTTATTTTGTGTGTCTCCTTGAGCCCCTTATGATTGTAGCAGAAAAATTCTCCACCATTTCGTATTTTAGCTGCATGTAGGCTTCCCAAGAGATAGAAGAGAAGTTCACTTGGGGCCCTATAGGCCCTTAGGGCACTTCCAGCAGCCCCCTAGGGCGGGAGCCCGAGTGCTGGCCCGAAGACGCGGCTGACATCATTGCTGATGCCAGTGTGACGTCAGCAGGCGGGTTTCAAATTTTTTCACGCGCCAACGTAAAAAAAAATTTGTTGCGCGCGTGTCAGCTTTCCTCTAACGGATCTATGCCACGTGGCGTAATCTGGTCCTTCCGATTCGTGTTGTCATCCAATCCAACGGCCTGGAATTTTTCAAGGCAAAAAATTATGAAAAAAAATCGTAAAATTTTTTATAAAAACCCCAAAAAATGCTGAATTTTTTTTTCCCCATAAATACAAATCCCTACTCTTCACTTTTAACACCAAATTCTCATACATCTTCTCATTCTCCAACTATAATTCACTTTCTACTCAATAAATGATGAAAACCCTTAAGTTAGTTTGCTTGCCTTTTCATTTCATTGTATTTTAATGTTTTGTTTTAAAAATTAGTTGTAATTCATGTATTTTATTTTAATAGTAGTATTGGTTTTCTTTGAGTTACCAAAGAAACTATTAAATAAAATTCTTTTTTATTCAAAATATTCCATACATAAAAAAACTAACCACAACCAAAGCATTAAAAAAATAAATAAACATAAAACATAAACATTAAAATCTTAAATAACATCTTCACTTCACTTTATTCACTGTCATTGCCTTTCACCACCCATAAATGCTCCATTAAGTCAACTTGACGGCGTTCATGAATATACGACGATTGCATCTCCGTATATCAATCAATCATACGGTTCATGAAAAGACCATCTCTAACCAACGATTCATGCTCCACTGGTACTCCATTTGGCCCTATGGGTTTTTCATAAATTCTTGTCAAATCTGTGTTCATGGGATCCGGTTTGTACACCTCTTCAGCTTCGTAATCATACTCATCCTCCACAATCATGTTATGGAGGATGATGCATGTCATCATTATGCTCCTCAACACCTCCTCATCAAACATACACCCCGCACCCCTAATGATCGCCCACCGAGCTTGGAGGATACCAAAGCACCTCTTCACATCTTTTCTGTAACTCTCTTGATAGGTAGCAAATAATTTTTGTTTTTGGGTTCGGGGATGCGAAAGTGATTTCACAAATGTTGTCCACTTCGGGTAGATGCCATCAGCTAGATAGTACTCAGTTTGGTAGACGGTATTATTGATTTCATATGTGATTTTTGGGGCTTCTCCTCTCAAAACATCGTTGAACATCGGAGATTGACCTAGGATGTTCAAGTCATTTTGAGATCCAGCAACTCCGAAGAAAGCGTGCCAAACTCATGTATCGAAATCTGCAACGACTTCAAGGATGATATTTTTTTGGCCTTTTCGATTTCCGTAATCTCCCTGCCAAGCAGTTGGGCAATTTTTCCATTGCCAGTGCATGCAGTCAATCATACCAATCATTCCTGAAAACAATCCCAAAACACCAGCATACGCAAACATTCGTATGACAGCTGTGAACTTTTGTTTGGGAAGCAGTCCCAAAACACCAGCACAATTTCTCTTTTGAACAAATTATTCATCATAATTGCAAATATCATGCATGATTTTATTGAACAAATCTTGTTGCATTCTATACTGCCCTCAAAAATGAACGTCAGATTACAGAGATTTTGGGATAAAATAATCTTCCATAAGATTCTTACCCCAAGAATGCCTATGTCTGTCAACATTGGGCCACGGCTTTCATGTGAACCACGACTGCTCTGGTTTTCTTCATCAAGCAAAACCACAGCCATGACAAGTTGCTGTTCTAGTTCTCTCTGCGCTTTTTTGCTTGCAGCTCGTTTACGCCTTCTTTCTCTTATTTCTCGCTCTTGCCTCTCCAAGACCTCCTCCATGTCTGCTATTGAGAATGGAATATGAAATATGAAATCTAAAATCTGAGAAATGAAATTTTTGAGAAGATGTAGTGTGAGAGTATTTGTGAGCTGAGCCTTAGTTTTATAGAAAAATTTAGGTCGATAGACATGACACGTGGCGCAATTTTATAGGGTGAAAATCTTATCCGAAATTTGAAATTCAGATGAAATTTATCTGAAATATGAAATTCAAATGAAATTTATCTGAAATTTGAAATTCAGATGACACGTGGCGCAATTTTGTAGGGTGAAAATTTTATCTGAATTTGAAATTCGGATGAAATTTATCTGAAATTGAAATTCAAATGAAAAGTTGAAATTCAAATGAAATTTATTTGAAATTTGAAATTCAGATAAAATTTATATGAAATTGAAAATTTGAAATTTATTTGAAATTTATTTGAAATTTGAAACCGAAAATCTTATATGAAAATCTTATCATAAAATCTCATCCAAAAATATTGTCCAAATTAATTGTTTAGGTAAACAAATTTGTGAAAAAAAAAACAAAAAATTGAATAGTATTTGCCCTTTGCCATGACAACTGCTGGAAGTGCAACTTACTTTTTGCAAGGGTAGGCACTATTCATGTGAATAGTCTCAGCCCTAGACCCCCTTGCCATGGCAAGAGTTTCACTGTTGGAAGTGCCCTTATTCCCAAGCAAGTTCAAGTCTTCCTCCCTTTATTTATTTATTTATTTAAGAAAAGAGATATATATTATTACTCTCTATTTTGGCACATGGTAGGAAAGTCCCCACCTAAGTTTTTCTCTTTCGTGTTTATCTCCTAGCATGTAGGATACATATATATATACATATATATATATATATATCAGTAGTGAAAAAATATGCTCATGTCCTCTAAACAATTGTGCCAAAAATTAACGGCTGGAAGAAGAAAGAGAGAGATGGATTTCTTGAGTTGTGTACTATTATGTCTTATGGTTGCCTGGATCGTAATCCAAGCCCTCCAATATTCATTTGCAAGAAGAATTCCCACAAACCTTCCACCTGGACCAAAGCCATTTCCTTTGATTGGAAATCTCCTAGAGCTTGGAAACAAACCCCACATCTCTCTAATCAAGCTTTCAAAACGCTATGGCCCCATTATGACTCTACAACTCGGCCAAATAACAACAGTTGTAGTTTCTTCATCCATCGTCGCCAAACAAGTCCTCCGCACCACGACCAATTCTTTTGCAACCGAACTATCCCGGATGCAGTCCAAGCCTGCAAGCATGCCAAGCACGGCATGCCCTTCATACCTGTTTCAGCTAAACGGAGAAACCTTCGCAGAATACGCAACTCCCAATTGTTCGCCACCAAAGTTCTCGACGCCAACCAAGCCAACCGTCACCTAAAAGTGCAAGAGCTCATAGCTGATGTAAGCGTGGTAAAAGGTAAGGCAGTTGAAGTTGGAAGGGCTGCTTTCATAACTACCCTCAATTTGCTGTCACGTACTGTCTTTTCTGTGGATCTAGCGGACCCGAAAAGTGAGACGGCTAGAGAGTTCAAGGAGTTGGTGTGGGGTATCATGAAAGAGGTCGGGAAACCGAACTTGGCTGACTATTTTCCTGTGCTTAAGAAGATTGATCCCATGGGGATACGGCGCCGTTTGACCAAGCACTTCCGGAAGATGATTGACCTCTTTGACAGCTTGATCTTCCAAAGGTTGGAAACAAGAAAATCACATGATTATGTCACAGCCAATGATATGTTGGATACTCTTATAAACATGAGTGAAGAGAAGAATGAGGATATGGACATTCCTGAAACTCATCATCATTTGTTTCTGGTTAGTTATGGATATAGCTTTCCTATACATACTAATTGCTAATTAGAGTGTATCTTTTTGTGATTATTAAGGTTGTTTTTGTTTTTGTTTATACCATCTAAACTGACTTAAAGAACGAATTTACTACGTAGACGTTTGAGATGGTATACGTAGTTTTATTAGTTCATTATTATACATATATGCTAGCTAGCTCCGATTAATTCTCTGACTAAGTAATCAACCATTTGGTGAATAATATAGGATTTATTTGTTGCGGCCACAGAAACAACTTCAGCCACATTGGAATGGGCAATGGCTGAGCTACAATGCAACCCGGAAAAACTGTCAAAAGCTCAAGAGGAGCTAGAACAAGTCATTGGGAAAGGGACATAGAAATCTGCGGTTACATTGTACCAAAGGGTGCACAAGTGTTGGTCAACGCATGGGCCATCGGCAGAGAAACCAGCATTTGGGACAACCCTACCTCATTTATCCCTGAAAGGTTTTTGGGATTGGATATTGACGTACTGGCCAGAACTTTGAGCTTATTCCGTTTGGTGGCGGGAGGAGAATATGTCCTGGGTTGCCTTTGGCGATGAGAATGTTGAATTTGATGTTGGGTTCACTTATTAACTCGTTTGATAATTGGAAGCTTGAAGATGGATTTGTGCCAGAAAAAATGAACATGGATGAGAAGTTTGGCCTCACTTTACAGATGGCTCATCCTCTGATAGCTGTGCCCATCAAGTATTAGGAGAACCAAACCTAGCTAGCTATCACTACTACAAAATAACCCTTGCGCGACCAAATTTTGCACGACGAAAAATTATTCGTCGCTCAAAGTTATTTTGCGCGACGAAACTCAAAACTTTGTCGCTAAAATCCTTGCGCGACGAAAAATAATTCGTCGCTCAAAGTGACTTTGCACGACCAACTTTTGCGCGACGACAATACGTCGTCGCGCAAAGTCTTGCGCGATCAAATTTTGTACAACGAAAAAAAATTCTTCGCGCAAAGCGACTTTGCGCAACGAAAATCAATTCTTCGCGCAAAGTCCTTATAAAATAAATAAAATAAAATAAATTATTTTTTAAAATCTTTGTTAGAAAAATATATTATTGTTGTTTGGATTGGGTTTTTGTTAGAAAATATATTTTTTAAATTGACGATCGAATTAGTTCATTGTATTCATATAGGGTCAAAGAGTGTAACTATAAAAAAAATCAAAATCGGAGTTAAAATAACCGTTAAATCGTGATTTTTCATTTACAACCGTCGAAAAGTTATGTCCCATTACTTGATCTCTGAATGTTTATTTTTTTCGATTTTTGGCATATATGATCTCGAAGTATAAACATAAACAAACAAGTTTGACGGTTGGATCGTTCAAACTAGTTTCGTAGAATGCGTATGCCATTAAAACAATATATTCACTAATAATTAAGAGTTTATTTATACTTTTGTTAAATATAACATAAGATTTTGTGGTATCCACTAGTGTAAATATTCTAAATTGAAGATCAAATTTAGTCATTGTATTCATATAGAGTCAATGAGTGTAGTGGTAAAAAATCATCAAAATCAGAGTTAAAATAACCGTTAAATCATGATTTTTCATTTATAACCGTCGAAAAGTTTTGTCC